ATTGAAAAAGTAAGTTTTTGCCCAGTTTTCATTAACATTATTGACTCATTTGTAAACTTTTTATGGCAGGAATAAGATCCTTAACTTTTTTCTTTGTTAACATGTGTTTGTGATACTTATCTGGTAATCTTTTCGAATACTCAAACATTAGAACTTTCTTAGATTATGTTATTACTTTTATTTTTAAATTTAGAAAACACCGCCGCTTAAGTCGTACCTGTACAAAATTCCTAAGTCGTACCTGTACAAAATTTCTACCCGTACTGGTACGACTTAAGAAATTTGTTTAATATGAAGTTTATATAATTTTTTATCAGGTTATACTTAAATATGGCGAAGAGAAGGTACGATACTTGGAAGCAGGAGGATACGGACGAAGCCTTAGAGAAACATCAGGATGGAGAAATTAAATTGAATGAAGTTAGTAGAAGATTTAATATACCGAAGCCTACTCTGCGACGATATTTGAAAGGTTTTAATAAAAGAACAAAATTTGAAAGACCTAATGATATGTCACCAGACATGGTAGAGATATTAGCACAGCATTTGATGAATTTAGAGTCTTGCTTCTTCGGATTATCATCTATCGGCCACTGAATTTAGGAAACTTCCCTTCGAGCCCGCTGAAAAATTTGAACTACCTTATCGTTTTAACAAGGAGAAGAAAATTACAGGCAAAAAGTGGTATTACAGGCTGATAAATAAACATCCTACTTTGTCGTTGCGTGTTCCAGAACCTCAATAGCCAGAACTAAAGGGTTTAAAAAGAGCTTGTTAATGAGTTTTTGATAAGTACTAAGAAATACTGGATAAATACAAGTTTGTTGCATACCAAATATACAATGTGGACGTAACTGCACTATCCACCGTTCACAAACCATCCAAAGTTATTGCTCAAAAGGGAAAACACCAAGTAGGTGCAATTACAAGTGGAGAAAGGGGACTGACCACAACAGGCATACGTGTGATGAATGCAGCAGGCGAATTTATACCACCCATGTTGATATTTAAGCGTAGCAGACTGAATGATGCCTTAAAAAAAGGAGCTCCTTCAAAGACAGCGTTTGGTTGCTCGAAAAATGGATGGATAATATCAGAACTTCAATGACTTCAACATTTTATTAAATGCACAAAATTAGAAAAAAGTGATCAAAAACAAATATTACTTTACTAGATGGCACCCATACCAAATTTATATAAATTTAACATTTATACTTTATACAAATTTAACTTTCTAATTAATAACCAAAAAAATGTTTTAAGTTGTCTCAGACTGAATTTTTTGTAATTATGTAGTTGTTCATTGTGATCTCTGGTTATTAAGTATATTTCTGTATAGTTTATTATGTGTTAATTAAAGTATATTTTCTAAGTACGACTTAGGCTATAGGTGGTACGAATTAGGCAACTAGGTGCCTTAATCGTACCGAAGGTAAATTTTTGAAAATCGTTAAAATATCTATTTTGATAAAAGATTTTTCAGTTTTTATTGTTGTTGATTAAAAGGCAACTAAATAAATATTCAATACATGCAGAAGATTTTGTTTTATATCAATTGCGCTGAATATAACAGTATTATTTCCTTAGGGGTTACGACTTAAGCAACCTTACCCTACTTAGCGCGTTAGCTTAATCATCCGGTAGCTCTTGAAATCATCATTATCTTAATCTGCCCACTTTTGTTCACTGCTCACACATCGTCACATATAGTCCTATTCAATGTAAAATATTAGTATATTGAAGGAGTTAATTAAAAAATAAAATACTAGCAAACCCCGCGGCTTCGCTCGCGCTAAAACTACAAAGAACTCTAAAAAAGTTGATTGCATTAAAACTTTCATTCCCTATTTACCAACTTATAGGATGAATTTCGAAAAATGCTAAAACACGTATTTATTTAATTGTATCGAAGAGCATTAATTTCAAGTAATTCTGATTACAAATAATTTTTGGGTTGTATCATAACGTGTTTCCCGTGAGCCTATGTCACTCTCCAGTCCTACAACAATGTCCACATAAAAAATCACGCGGATTCGTCACTCCGTTTCGACGTAAAGGAAAGACAAACAAACACACTTTCACATTTATAATATTAAAGTCTATCTATACTATCCATTAGTATGATTTATTCTTATTATTTTTATATTATTTTTTAGCTGTCTATACCAGTGGGTGTGAGTGAAGACTGTTGAAAATGAGATAGTCTGTAAGCGACAGGTAAATAGAGTCAATAAAATTTATAATACTATTTATTCTTTATCTACTAATTATTAATAACTAGTAAGTTTATATAAATATATATTCCAACACATGTTAATTGAGGTGCCAGTAATGAATAATATACTTGTATATATGTATAACGATTTTAATTTAATTCCTATAAATGCTAGCTGTAGAGTTAATAACAGAGATACAATTATAGAAGAGTACAGTCCTATCTATCTTGACTAACAGACTAAACCGTAAGAGTTGACTTTTAGAAGTGTAAAAAAAGTGTTGTAAAGAGGAATCTCTTATCCCGAAATAAGCCCGAAATAGACAGACAAAAATACGCGTGTGAGGCTACTTATAACATTTTTTCATAAATGCATAGAACTCTAGTAATTAAAACCTTATGTTGAGAGGAAATTAAAATCTGGTTTACTTCTTCTAATGTTATTCGATTACTTTAATTCTTCGGTGTACTTTCATTATAAACTTGCGAACTTATTGTTTATGTGTATCGTATTTCCTTTCTATTTATATGTATGTAATTCGTAAATTAATACTTGGTTGAATTTCATTTGAGACGTCACCTTATTTTGTTATTCATTAATTATTGCGTAATACTGTAGTACATTTTACTGTACGGTAAGTACGAGTACAGCAGTGGTACGAGGGGGGTAGCCCAGTGGTAGCGCGCTCGCTTGGGAAACCGAGTAAAATGGGTTCAAAACCCGGGTCTCGCACCTCTGATATTTTCATGTGCGAAGCATTTGTAATATAATTATAACCACGTGCCTTACGGTGAAAGAAAATATCGTGAGGAAACCTGCATGTCTGAGAGAACCTAGCAAGTTTTCGAAAGACGTGTGAAGCCCACCAACCCGCTCTTGTCCAGCGTGCTGGACTATGGCCTGATCCCTCTCGTATTGAAGGAAGGCCCGTGCCCAGCTGTGGGACGTTAAAAAGGGCTAAATACAAAAGTATTTGAGAGTTGACTTCAGTTAGATCAGTTAGATATTTAATATCGACATAAAAAATTACTAAGACAGTTGGAAACAAGAAAGCCTTTAATTAAACTAATTAATAATACGAGTAGTAACAAAGAGTTTTTAATTGTGTACAATCTTTACAGGTACGATAAATTGGATGGCTGGAATAAGTATGTTAATTTTGCAAACACTTTATTTGCAAGTAGTCCATATATCTTTAAATTTAAATTTCTCAATGGACACACAGTTAAAATTCGATCGCGATTGGAGATTTGATTCAATCTATTTTGCATTTTAGCAGCCTTAGAAAGACGAAATAGATAAAAACCTTAAAAAATGATTATGCTGATTATTAAGGAAATTTTATATTTTAATTTTAAAATATTTATAGTACAAATAAGTCTGTAGAAGTATTTAGACAGACTTCAAGGCTTAAAGAAATAGTTTACGGCGGAGCCATGGGTCATACGACGTGACCTCAGCCATCTGCTTTTATTTGCGCGTTTGACTCCGTCTACACTGGGTTTATAGTTATAACACTTTTACGTCGATTGTTAGGCCAGAATTATTGCTATTGTTATTCTGAGGCATAGATTTAATTAATGAAATTGTACTGTATTCCGGATTTTTTTTTTATATATTGACTAGCGACTCACCTGCGCTTCGCTCGGGTTCCTCCCTAGCTTGATTCTCAATACAAACTTTCATCCCCATTTTCATCACCTTAAGGGATAATTTCCGGAATAAAAATCCTATGTCCTTCCCAGGGTCTCAAAATATCTTCTTACCAAAATTTCATCTAAATAGGTTTAGTAGATCAAGAGATTACCCCATACAACGTCACAAACTCACAATCTCATAAACTCACAAACTTTACCTCTTTATAGTATTAGTATAGATATAGATTTAATTTATAAATTAGGTATATGTTACTCATCCGAAAATGTATTAATTGCTACATAAGGTAAGGTTAGGTTAGGTTAGGAAAAAAAAAATCTCCCCCAACGTGCGTTCACCTTGTCGTGGTGGGGGGGCTCAGTAGTGCCCGGCAATCCAACCGGGCGCGAAGCTAAGAAACGCACAGGGAGGTTGCCCACTTCGGTGGGCGGTGGGAGGTGGCCCTCTTCGGAGGGCGGTGTACCTTGCGGGTTGCTCCTGGTACTTCTCTGATAGCAGAGTGGACCTTGGAGCAACCCCATGGTTGTGGTGGTCTGCTTTGGCAGACCTGCCGTCGGGGCGTCGTAGTTGAATGCGTAAGCGATCCTGCGATGCCCCATTAAGACGGGGGAAGGTTTTGTTAGGTTTTAGTGGGTAGTACTGGCTGTATTTCGCCGGTGAGTCCCACACGTCGTGCGTAAATGCATTTCCCAACGTTAAAAAAAAAAGGTTAGGAAAAATTATTTAGTTTTTAAATATTCATAAAATTACATTGTAGTTATAACAATTATTTTCAAACTACGTAAGTCTACAAAATTCTTATTAGTTCCTACCTGTGATTTCAACCGTATGAATAGTAATTTATTTCAATTGTTCTGTCCTCGCCATCTTTCCGAATTCAGATAACATTAAACTTGAACTATTACCTCACATAATAGCATTAACGTCGTAAAAAAACCCTGTGTTAGATTTTAGTCAAATTCGTTAACCTGTATCATCCAAATATTTTCACAATATGCCAAATTAGTAATATAAAAAAATGCCATTCATACTTAAAGAATGGTATTAATATTTGTATATTCATCGTATAAATATTATGCGACATGTAATTTTGTAATTACGCGAAATTGCAAATAACAGCACCTCGAAATGTCACAACTTTTACGTAATAGATGTACAGGTATAGAAAATTCATTAATTCGAAATTGTGAAGTTGGTAGAAAGTTTGGTGGCACGTTCCGTTTGAGGCAAGCCTGTGCGAAATTGTTCGTCAATTCCACTTCAATACAGAATTATAAGGGTAGACGAAAACTCGAGCAGTTTTATAAAGTTTCGATAGTTTATACGTAATCTGATACGTATCTCTAATCTAATTACATCTACTCCGAATTCAATCGACTACGTTCTCCACAGTTACAAAGTAATATTATATGGTTCTGTACAATTCGAGTCTACTAATATGTGCTTTACCCATAGGCTTTAATGATTTTCAAGTTGAGCAATCTATTTTATCTTAATAAGAAATAAATAGGTTCTGTGCTTTCCGATTCCGATGATTTATTACAAGTTTTTATTTAAATTGCTTTATTGATATGTCTGGTTGTTTTTCTGTTTTAAAACTTACGATTTGTTTTTAAGCTGACATCCTAAGATCCTTAGTTTGGCATATTTTAATTATTATTCCATGAATCCGGTTTCATGAATAAAGTTGTTTTAAAATAGTTTTACACCGCGCTTTTTTAAGGTTTCATATCTCAAAAGGATTAAAGATCACTTCGTTGTCCATCTGTCTGTCTATTTGTCTGTCCGTCTGTCTATCTGTCGAGACCCTTTTTGTTAAGAATGCGTTGAGGCATCAAGCTTAAATTTATATCAAAACTCAGGCCTGCAATCCATAGTTGCTATGAAAAAATTAAAATTTTAAGTCAACACAAACAAGACATACGGCCTTACGCCTTTTGCACACTCGCAAAAGAATCGAAACCTATAGGGTACTTCCAGTTGACCTACAATCATAAAATTTGGCAAGAAGCAATGTATTATAGCACAAGTAGTTAAAGGGGAAAAAAATTGAAGACATATTTTTTTTGCTTATAAACTTATTTTAATGTTTTACGTCTCTATGTGCGAGATAGACACGCACTATTCAATTTTTTATTTTATTTAGACAGTGATTAACATTTGTACAAACACGTGTATAAACACGTGAAAATATAACCCACAACCGCCTGCTTTATTGAATAAAATTTTAACACCAATTTAATTTTGGTATCAATGAATATATTTAAATTTATAACAACGTAAATGGTACGAAAAATGAAATGATAATACGTGACTAACGGAGCGAAACGTAAACAATATTATAGTTACGGCCGTGTAAAAATTGGTATCGAAGGTTAAGTTTTAGCACTCTGAAAATAGGCAACAAGCATTAAAGAAACGCTGAAACTTACTCAAAACAATTTCAACAGTCGTCCTCGTACAGTTCCAGATGTAATGAAAAAACTGAACAAAACGCTCTCTAAATGATACCTTTTCAGGATCTGACTCCGCTTCCACGAATCTAACTCTTTTCTTTTTGGCTATATTTTTATCTTTTTTTTCGAACTTTATGCTTTTTATTAAACTGGATTTTTGTGTTTTCACTTGGTTTGATATTTCGGACTTTTCTTGAAAAGCATTTCCACTTGTTATACTTAATTTGGTTTCACAATCAGTTTTGTAACTTGAAGCTACATTTTTGACCATTTGTTTTCCTTCAACATGTAGTGGCCTCTCGTGGACACTTTGCACTAGTTTGTAGTTTTCGAACGCCGTGTTTATATTTTATGCACGTTATAATGATTTTATAACTATCGTTAAAGTACAGATGTGTCTTCGTTTGTACACAACACAATGCGGTACTGAGTGGTTTTCTGCTATGACGCCAATAATATGCAACTCGACGACGTGTCTAGACGACTCTTGGCTTTGTTTCAACTTTTGACTTTTAGGACACATTTAAATATGAACCAAATGATGATATTAATAATAAATTAATTAGAATGTATAATAATATCAATGATACAAAATTAACTATTTATTCAACATAAGTCACAAGTCTAACGTCTATAACGACATGAATTGCATTTATTAAGAATTTAAATGTAAATTCAGCTTTAATGATTTCTGACAAAAATAAAACATTTTGGATACCGTAAATTTCACGTAACAACCGTGCACAGAACATCATGGCAGCACTTTGTTCTATTATCATCTCAAAGGGGTGTTTGTTTGCAAATATTTGCATAAACAACTGCTCAATAGTGCTTTGTGAATAATTATATTTCTCATATTCTAATAATATTATGTAGTGTTAAAATAAAATTACTGGCTTAGTGGAGTTACTCGTTGCTAATCGTTTTTATATATCATCATAATATTAGTTTGTAGTTCATATTTGTATTTGTATACGCTTTTAATTTTAGAGATTATGCTCTTATTTGCAAGATTATTTTATATGGTAATAATATATTATGTTTTATATATATTACATATTCTAAGTAATCTATTGTTAACTGACACGCCGGCGTGTCCGCGGTCGTGGAGGGATTAACATTGTATTTTTTAGATTCGTGAAATGGATACTTATTGTTAGAAAAATAAATAAAGAAATGTAAACTACTCGACTTTGCACATTCATCGCATAGTGTTTTTGTTGTTATAAATTATCAATATCAATGCTATCTTGAAGCAGATAAAATAATATATTAGGTATATATTATAGGTATATACCTACTACAAAATACACGTAGTGTATAATAACTTACAATTATATTACAAATCAGCAGTAGCTTCCACAACTATGAGTACGCCAGAACATGATGATAAAGAGATATATGAAGTTACGGCTTCATAATCTTATAGTTGTAATCAAGAATTATTCGTCCTAGAACCCTTCATAAACAGCAGTAACATTAAAAATTATGAGGTCAGAGTAAGGGTGTGACTTGAACTTACCGCGAAATATATTATTTTCAACACGTTAACCTTTTATGAGGATATCACACAGTAATTATAGAAGGTTATTTTAGTAGGCATATTTCACATGTCCAAAGTGGAAATGTTTTAAATTAAATTTATCTAGTCCTATGTATATTTCAACAAAAAAATACAAATTCTATAATGGAATTAATCCTTAAATATCAAATTTCAGATAAAACTATCTTAAAAAGATTTAAGAAATCCGTATTGTTAAGTGTTTGATATAATTTTATAGGTTTATGGGACATTAAAATATTAATATATAGAGAAACCAACTATGAAATAAAAGCTGTACTTTAATGAAGACTTATTAACAGTAATTTAATAATCAAGAACATTAGAAAATTATCATTTAACAAATAAAAATGAACAATCAATTAATATTCTAATTTATAGCTAAGTCTCTAATAACCTACTTCAAATTCATAATCGAATTTCGCAGAAGATTCCTATTTCAGCTTAAGTGAAATTCGCTGTTACTGTCATTCTCATTTTGTGTCGTTAAAACTTGGTATATTTGAAATTATTTGTTTTATATTAATTTTAATTAAAACAAAGACTTTTTGACATATTCTTGTAATATAAAATGATATGTAATAAATACATGCGAAATAAGTTAGTGATAATTTTGCCTTTTAGACATTATATTCAATGATGCTAAAGTTGTATTTCATTTTAATATGACAAATAATAAAATAATTGAAACCAGTGTGGTTGATGAACGCAAGAATGATCTAACTAAAACTTTAAAATAATTTCAATAAAATGAAGTTATAACGCAAATATGATTTCGCATCGCATATATAAAAACCTATACTATTACCGTTAATTTAAAATAAGTATTACTACGAGTATATACATAGTTAGACCACTTTTGTTTTAGAATGCTCAATTTTTTTAATACTAATTTTAGTTTGGCCATTTTTGTTTTGTCTCAATTAAGTAATAAATATTACCAAGAGCGAACTTGACGCCGGTCCAAGCAGTGCGGACGTAGTGGAAGAGCCGGCGGTAGAGCGGGCGGGGTCTCCGCCGGCGGGCGGGCGCCTCAGGGTCGGGCGCGGGCGGCGCCTCCGCATCGCCCGCACCCGCACGGCCGTCCACCGACGACGCCGTGTTGGGGACCCAGCTTTACTACCGCTGGTCTAGTGTATGCGGTTATAACCACATAGCAATCATTGCTTCATTCACCTTTGCATTTCACTATTTTGCACTAATCACATTTATTCGTAAAACACTTGTGTATGACACTTTTTATAGATGGTTGTTAGAACATTTTTTTTAGGTTTTAGGTCACATCACTTTTTTTGTCGGTTTATGTCATTAAATTATTTATTTGGTTTATATTTGCTTTCATTTAGTTTGTATGTCTGGTAACAACACTCAGTAAAGTTTAATTTGTTAGTTTTTAGTTGGAGATAAAAAATTTAATTAAGCATGAGGCAAGCGACAGAGAATAGTGCAGCCGTAAATCTGTGGACAAAGAAAATATTTTTTGTTAGTTTTATAAGCGACACACAAGAAAGACTTATACTCGTACAAACAGATTAAAAGTAAGTAATTTAGATTTTAAATTTCAGTACACTAGTACTACATAGTATATATTTTTTAAGTTCAAACTTTTAATATATTATAAAGCATAGTTTCATTGTATCATTTTCTTTCATAGTTTTACTTAAAGAGTAGATAATTAAATTTTTAGTAAATAATTATGAGTACTAAATAATAACAGAGAATACTGAGTTACTTATGGATTTGATATATATATATATATATATATATATATATATATATATATATATATATTAGTATTGTTAAGTAGAGTTAGAACATTTATCAGAAATTGGTGATTTCTTTATAAATTATATAGGTAATAGTATTCCTAAATTATATAAAACATGTATTATACAATACTTGAAAACAGATAGATTAAAAATGTAAAATATAGATGTTTCAAGACCCAGAAATATGTATGTTTATAAGAAAATATTCTAAACACAAGGCAGTGGTAGCCCAGTGGTAACGCGCTAGCTTGGGAAACCGAGTGAAGCGAGTTCAAATCCCGGGTCTTGCACCTCTGATATTTTCATGTGCGAATCATTTCCTACAAGATTACCACCACTTGTCTTAACGGTGAAGAAAAACATCGTGAGGAAACCTGGATGTCTGAGAGAACCTAGCAAGTTTTCTAAAGACGTGTGAAGTCCGCTAATCCGCACTTGGCCAGCGTGGTGGACTATGGCCTGATTCCCCTCGTACTGCAGGGCGGCCCGTACCCAGCAGTGGTACGTTACAAAAAAGGGCTAAATACAGTTCTAAACACAAGCAACATGTTAGAACAGTGTGAACTTCGCGTTAAAACTTATGACTTATTCAAATTGAAACTCAATGTATACTTTAGTCGTAGTTATGAATAAAGCGGTCGAGTTCGGTTGTTTGTTTCGGATTTGCATTAGAATTAGATTTTAACGTTGTGCAAGTAAATGAATATCACGTACGATAGATACTCGTACTTACGGTAAAAATGTATCACGTGACCATTCAATATAGCAATCACAATAACTGATATGCTTGCTTAGACCTGAGCACATACTGAACGTGTTTAACTTTAATATTCCGATTGAACGTGCACAAATATGTACACAAACTACAAAGTAAAAGATATAAATATGTACACAAAGTAAAATATAGTTGCTATAGAATTGTATTAAGCGCTTAGGCTAGTCATTAAGCTTCAAGCACGATCAAATCAAACATATGATTTAAAATTACCAATTTATTTCAAGAAATATTTTCAAAGTTTTATTTACGTATTTTCATTGTATTGTTATAAAATTTAATTTAAGATATATATCTACATTTAATAAAATATTTTAGAGAATTTATTAGGTACAAGAAAACTGATAATTCGTAGACCTTAGTTGTAGAATTTGAATTTAACTAAATAAACACTTAACTTATTGAATAATAAATACTATAGTATCATTCTTATACTCGGCAAAATTTTAAAAATCTATTTAAACTAAAACAATACGATATATACATATGTAGTTCCTGCATCAGTTCCTATATAATACAAAATCGGCATATAGACGTACCTACCTGTCCTAAATTGGGAAAAGAGGAAGATATTAAGTTAATAAAAAGAATGGAACATTTGACCAAAATAAAAAATATAAGGGTAAATTTAGTACAAGAATTTATTTAATATTTCATTTATTTCTGAATAGGATTTTGATTCCCCTGGATTTAGACGGCCCCACTCGGTGGGCAGTGTGCTATGCGGGTTGCTCCTGATACTTTTCTCTTTGAGTTTCACATAACCACCTGTATGTACATATACAGGTGGTATTTGTTAATGCATTTCGCAACATTAAAAAAAGAGGTCATAATCTATATATTTGTGTACTAAATTTTATCCAAATCCGTCCAACTGTTTCAGTGTGAAGAAATAACAAACAAACACCGGCTCGTACAAACTTTTTGCATTTATAATAGTACTGTGAATATTTTCTAAATCAAAACTATAGAAAAAAATTGGCTAACGTGAGACTGTATGTAAAAAACCTTACGTAAAGTTAATACAATACAATACCATAATACAAACTAAAAGTGGTATTCTATTGCCTTTTATTTTTATACTGTTTTAAAATAAAAATTAATAAACTACGACTGTAGTCTATAATTTATTATAATTTAAAGAAAACTAAGAAACTAGCGACTCGTCACACCGACACGATTTCAAACAACGCACGCACGACAGAGTTCAAAAAGTTTTACTTTAGACTTCTTCACTTCATTTGCCTTTTGATTATCTTTAAAATGAATTTCCTGGTACTAGAATCTCGAGTATAATAAAAAAAAATTCATATTCCAGTGTGAGTTTTTAAATAAAATCACCGCAATATACAAAACTGGCACTACTTAGAGTTTCCTAGTTTTATTTCTAAAGGACAATGGGCGCCGTCGAGAGCATACACCTACAAACTTAACAACATAACACACAATGCTACAAGGCACTTTAGGCCTTACGTCTGAGAGAAAATAGTACTTTGAGACGCATAAAATGGTTTGTAGACTCATAAATTAGACCATGCATCACTGTCACCATGGCGTAGCAGAAACGAAAGGATGCTTCGTAATAACCTGTGAAATGAACGTTTGATGACCATTTCTGCTTCAGGAAATATATAGCAGTTACTAAGTTTGGTGGCAGCGAATAATGACATGCTTAAAATAGATTGTGGCGATTAAACTTTGTGTTGAAACTCAAGGATTGAGAAAGTTTCCTAATTTTATTTTATAGGTCATTATAAAATTATTAAGCTTCTCTATGGACGCTTTTAAGCTTAATAAAGTAATGAACGATTTACAAAAGAATAAAAATTGATTTAGTAATCTATATTATAATAAGGCAGTTACTTAGCAAAATCTGTAAATGAAATATTTTTTAAAACAATGACTGCCACGTATTATGTACACAATATAGAGCCCAAAACAATAGTTATTAAAATTTTGTCTGTTTGTCTGTATGCCTGTGTGTGTGTGCGAGTTTCCGGCAAAAAGTAATAAGCCGATGTCAACGAAATTCGCTAAGTGATAACTTATTACTCGAGTCAACATTTAGGATACCTTTTACTTCAGAAAAATCATTCTTTCCCACGAGAAAACACAATACCTGGTTTTATTGATTCCTCCTTAGAAACCTTCCGCTGTCTAAGCCTTAGAGATACATCAAAACAATGTACTACAAAATTGTAGGTCTTAAAATGGTCTACAGAAAAATCCGCAATAGTAGTATATTATGTCTATCTCTTAAGGTACACTCGGTATAACTATTGAAGTAAAACTTCTTAACGTTCTTAACGTTACGAAAAAATGTAATGCGTTACGAAAAAATGTACGTACGTTTGTTGCCATGGTAACCGTTGTTGTTGTCTGACAAATGATATATTATATTATATTCGTTCCTTAAATGATATTCTATAAATATATGATTGTATTATGCCTAATATGCGTATATTTTTAGTATCTTCACCTATCCTAATTATTTAAAACATAAATTGAATTTCATAAATAGTACCGATAACCTGCAGTTTTACTTCATGCGCGTGTACACATTCATACACGCACTCTTTATATTTTTTTATTATATATTATTATATTAAAGACAATGTCGTGACTCACCCGATGATGATAGACCAGCATCGCTAAAAAGCCAGCTTTATATATCCATACCAACATTAAATACGAAAGTAACTCCGTCTGTCTGTCTGTTCGTCACTTTTGCACGCTTAATCCGCTGAACGGTTTTAGATGAAATTTGGTATAGAAATATTTTGAGACCCTGGGAATGACATAGGATAGTTTTCATCCCGGAAAACATATCAATATTAATATTATAAAGAGGTAAATTTTGTGAGTTTATGAGATTGTGAGTTTGTGACGTTGTAGGGGGTAATCTCTGGATCTACTGAACCGATTTAGATGAAATTTGGTAAGAAGGTAGTTTGAGACCCTGGGAAGGACATAGAATACTTTATATCCCGAAAATCATCCCTTAAGGGAGTAAAAAGGAAGGTGAAAAGGTTTCCACCCAGAAAGATTGAATGGAAAATCAATCATTTCTCCAGGAAGGGACATATTTTTTTATAATACTTATCTACTTTTCTATACTTACATATGTATGTACTACATATAATTGTACCTATATGTTTATATAGTCTATTCTATACTTACCGTTAAAACGTACCTAGGGACCAACTCGAGCGAAACGAGGGTGAATTGCTAGTACTTAATAACTGGATATTCAACAAAGCCCATCGTAGTTTATAGCTATTATTATCTTGCGTTAAGCAGCTTTATATATTTATTCAGACAGTAATTTTTGGAATTCCTATTCAATTATTAATAGGTACATAGCGTAGCGTAACGTATAAAATTTAAGTACAGTTTAAAAATCTAGCATATACTGAGAATATACATTACATGAGGATGCTATTTTATACTCAGGTAACATTTAGGACAATTCTTATTCTATATAAGAAAGACTTTCTGTAGGAGAAGAAGTAGAATTGTTTAATCTTGCTCAATTGTGATATAAACCTCAGAAGCTTACTATCATCAGTCAGATAAGGGATAAAAGC